TTCTGACCATGAACTCGAACTTAGGACAAAAATGCCACTTGAGGACATAATGCTGGGAGTGCAGCTTTAAATTTAATTTAAATTCCAAGGGAAAATATACAAACAAACTGAGGGAATTGCCACGGAATCACCAATATCCCTGGTTGTAGAAGATATATTCATGGATAGGTGGGAAAAGATAGCGATTGAAACATTCACCCCACCCCAAAAGTATGGTGGAGGTATGTAGATGACACATTCACTGTACTTAGAACACAGAATATAGATAGATTTTTCGAAAACATCAACTCGAAGGTAGGGGCAATTCAATTCACTTATGAATTGGAAAGTCAGGAAGGGGAACTTCCAATGTTAGATTGCAACGTAAAAAGGAAAGAAGATGGGAAGCTAAACACTAGTGTTTACGGAAAACCCACACATACAAACAAATATTTGGATTTCCGATCATCCCATCCTATGTCAGTAAAAATAGGATTAGTGAAATGTTTAAATGACAGCACAAAAACTAAGTAGTACCAAGGAAAATCTAAGACAGGAAGTTATACACATAAAAGAAGCCTTGAAACGTAATAATTACCCAGATAAATTAGTCAGGAAATATGTAAGGAAATGTAAAACTAAATAATGACAGTAGCGATACTGATAATAACAATAATAATGATAATAATAATAATAATAGCAATAATGATAATATTAATTTTAATGACGATACCAACAGTAAGGAATCTAAAGCATCAGTAGTAATTCCATACAAAGAAGGAACCTCGGAAGCCTTACGCAGAATTCTTTAAAAGGCAAGAATAAAAGTAATTGGCATTCAAACCAACTACAAACTCAATTAGAAACAAGCTTTGTCGGTTAAAGGATCAGTCCTATGGAGCCTTCAAAACAAAACAATTTAGTTTATCTAATGCCCTGCTGGAATGATTGTCAGGTCAAATGCATAGGTCAAACTAGTAAAACAGGGGCAGTCAGACTAACCGAACATAAAAACCTAGGAAAATCTAAATTGGTTGACCCAAATAAAATAAGAAATCTAGAGAATAGTTTAGCAATAGCATTACATGCAATCATACACAACCATACAATACAATGGGATAGGATGACAGTTTTAAAATCTAATATCACAGGGTATAAGGAGAGATTGATAAAAGAAGCTTTGTTTATCGAATCAGCTGAAATACATGTAATAGGAATGATTCATCACCTATCCCTCATATCTGGAAAATTTTAATGTGGTTGTGTTCTCTGAGCCGGATGGTTAATTTGCGAAGTTTTCATCACCCTACTAGGTGATATCTTCAGAGCATACTTCAATTTGAAGTGAGCTTTTAGATTTCCCCACGAGTTTATTAATCATCTCTCCTGGTGACCTTGGACGTGATTGGTTGTCTGTGTGTGTTTTCACACCTTCTAGGTTACTTGTATTGGGACTGATTGTTTCTTTGACTTGAACTTTGACCCTTTGTGTGTGAAGTTTCTTTCTTATCGGGATACGCTTCTCTCTGTTCGAAAGTGGGAAGACTTCGCCAAAAGGCAAGGATCCACCAGAGAGCAATTGTTCTTTCTCCATGAGGGCCTTCGTCATCAAATCCTACCAAACAGTGTAAGATACAAACCACCAGTCAACTGCCCAATGGGATGGAAACTAGCAGAACAATGTGGAAGAATAATGGTCAAATTAATGATTACAGACGCACATTATGTCCAAAAAGTAAAATTAGGAGAAAACCCTCAACCAGGAACACCTGTCAACGCTGATCACCGCAATTACATTGTCAAGTAGAAAACACAGAGAACAAAGACGAAGAGTCCTCAAAACCAAGCTAGCCAAGCTTAGAAAACAACAACCAGACAATTCGCCTATAGACCGCGTAGTCAACCTATTAAGACAACCACTATCAAAAATGGAACAACTACTAAAATGAGGATTAAACTACAACACCGGAGATGCTTCGGAAACCGATTTCTTCGCTGCCCTTGATACATTACTCAAATCATCAAACTTGAACGAGGAAACACAGGAAGCGATACGCCAAATAATTGTACCAATAGTCAAACAGAAAAAACAACACACAACTCAACTCTCAAGAACTAAAGGCCCTCAAAAAGCTGAAAAATAGGAAGGACATCGTCATTCTACCAGCCGACAAAGGAAGAACAACAGTAGTCATGGACAGAGGAGAATACACCAAGAAAGCTGAAAAACTACTCAAAGACGAGGGTGTATATCAACAACTCCCAACAAATCCCATACAAACATTGGACAACCACATCCAAAGGACGTTAAACAAACTCACCAAAACTGGACAGATCACAAAACAAGACCAATGGCGAATGAAATCCAGTGGACCAGTTCTACCTCGATTCTACGGCAGACCCAAAATACACCAGCCAAATATCCCGTTACGACCAATTGTATCACTCCCAGGAACTCCAACATATAATTTGTCCAAAGAATTATACAGAAAACTAAAACACCTAACGGAATTATGCGATCACTCCATCAACTCTGCTATCCAATTCCTAGAGAAAATCAGAGGCATCCAAATAGATGAACAAGAAATAATGGTATCCTTCGACGTGACAGCATTATATACCTCAATCAGACAAAAACTAGCAAAAGAAACCATGGAGCAATTACTCAGCAACGATTAACACCTTCCACAACAATCAAAAATGCAACACACAAGCTGGATGGAATGCATAAACCTATGCCTAACAACATACTTCAAATCCAACGGCCAAAAATATGAACAAGTCAAAGGAACACCCATGGAATCGCCAATATCACTGACGCAAAGACTCGAAAACATAGCTCTACCAAAGATCAAACCCAAGATTCGGATACGCTATGTCGACGACACATTTTTAATAATCAAAAGAAACGTCTCAGATAAAACTCACAACTTAATAAACAACGTCTTCAACGACATGAAATTCACAAGAGAAGGGAAATCCGAGAACCAAATCCCATTTTTGGACGTCTTAGCCAAGCGAACAACCACAGGGGAATTAGAAACTCAAGTTTATAGAAAATCAACTCACACTGACCAATTCCTGAATTACAACAGCAACAATCCAATAACACACAAAAGGAATTGTATACAAACACTATTCAAGAGGTGGTGCGTTTAGATACTTGGAGGAAATCGTCAGGACGCTTTGGACCTAGGTTTCATGCTAGCTGGCACTCACCAGTAACCAAGGCGTATCTGCAACCTTGGAAGAACTCATGTCTCTTCTGGGATTCGAACCCAGGTGACCTAGTGCTGCAGTCAGAGACGTTACCACTGAGCTATTCGGGCTTATATCAATGATACTATTCAAGAGGGCCAGGACTCATTGCAGCACTCCCACCTTAAGGTAAACTGAAGAAAAATATCTCATGAACGTCTTCCAAAAGAATGAATATCCACGGAATTTCATCAAAAGACATATACCCCCAAGCCAACCTATCAAACCAAAAGCCCCCAAGGAAATCACAAAAAAAATCGCCTTACCATATATAAAGGACATCTCAGAAATCACTACAAGACTCTTCAACCCTTTAGGAATTGATATCGTACACAAACCAACAAAGTCACTTCACTCAATTATGTGTCAACCAAAAGACTCAACAGCAAAAGAAGATAAAACCAACATCATCTACAAAATAAATTGTAACAACTGCGAAAAACACTACATTGGTCAAAGTGAACGTCTCCTTCGTCTTCGTATCCAAGAACATAAGGTAGCCGTCAAAAGACATGATATCCACTTCCTCATATCACTACATACAGACAACCACGGACATTAATTCGACTGCGACAACGGTCATATATTAGACAGAGGAAACAACAAGAATGCTAGAGAATTTTTAGAAGCTTGGTATTCTAGTGAATCATCAATCAATAGACACATCGAGATAGACAAAATTTATCAACCGATAAGAAAGACTTCACACACAAAGGGTCAAAGTTCAAGTCAAAGAAACAATCAGTCCCAATACAAGTAACCTAGAAGGTGTGAAAACACACACAGACAACCAATCACGTCCAAGGTCACCAGGAGAGATGAATAATAAACTCGTGGAGAAATCTAAAAGCTCACTTCAAATTGAAGTATGCTCTGAAGATATCACCTAGTAGGGTGATGAAAACTTCGCAAATTAACCATCCGGCTGAGAGAACACAACCACATCAAAATCATCCATCTGAGCTACAAATCTTTTCTATCATATCTGGGAAATTCTACTACCCCTACGACCAATAGGAGAAGACAAAGAAAACTATAAAACTCAAGTTTCAAAGTCGTGTGGTTACAATTGATATGATTATGAACAATAAATTTTGTTTGAAACATCATCCAGTAAATAATACTGTTTCACTGTGTGATATATCTAATAAACAAACTAACATAGAATAACCCTAACTAGTTTTTATTTTTTTCCGACAAACCCAATGTACACACACACACACACAAATAATTATATACGTATATACAGCTAAGTGAATGAATTTACGGCCGAAAAGAGACTCTTCGCTGAACTGTTTGTTCTCATATTTATGTCTGGGTGGGCATTTTTCGTGAACTAAAAATCATACGACTTTCATAACCACCTAGAATGTTATGTGACTGTGTGAAGAGTTGCAATCTGGGTCGAACAATTCATACTTAACGTATAGTTGGATCTCATTAAAAGTCACTTAGGTGAATGTCAGCCCCTGTTTTACTATAACACATATATGAGAAAGAGTTTACAGAAAAGCCATTATTTATCCACCATCATCCTAATAAAAGTGAGTCTTTTAAAAAATCAAATTCCTATCTCTGAGATCGTGTTGTGAATACTAAGCTGAAATAATAAACACATCTACATTCGAGTCGTATACTTTGATAGCTTAGCGGTAGAATTCTCGCCAACCACGCCTACTCATGTGGTTCAGGGTTCGATCCCCAGCCGACTCACTCATTCACGTCGCCAAGGTTGGGCATGAAGCAGGCTAGCAACCCCATCCTGTAAACACCACTGCTACTGAAACTTAGAAGCTTCAGCTTGAAGTCCTATGTCCCACTGGGAACAAAAACGAAGAAGGAAAAACATTTTTAACTTATATTTGAGTCGTATGAATGACGATGTTTATACAAAATCAAAACCTTCTTAAACTAAATAAACTTTCTACCTGGATTACGCTGGAAATCGCCTCCAGAAGGTCCGCTAGTTTTGTAAAGCCATAGTCAGATACTCGACACTGTCGACTAAAATGATGGTAATACGATGGAATAAATTTATTAATAGGCAGTCGGCAACGAGGTCTTTCACTGAGAAGATCGACCACTTCATCCGCAAACACTGTGGTGCGATACCTTTCCTCACTGGTTTGTACGAGTTTTGGTAATGACACAACTGTGTCCGAACCCGAACCAATTACTTCCACAACATTATCAGACAGTTCCGATAGCATATCAGTAAGATAACAGACACCATAATCTGTTATACAGAATTCCTATTTTAGAAAAATAAGATTCAACAGATGTGATTGGTAAATAATAGCTAGTATATGTCTGTAACATTTCATCAAACATATTCACTACCTGATTAGAATACAGCTTTGAAATTGTGAAAGCATTTAGTATGAGAAAAGATGCTGAAGTCATGTTGAGAAAAGACGTCGATATAAACGTTAGTTATTATCATAACTACAATGTACGCAAACCATGCATGACTGATCACACTAAAGAGAAGAAACCGAACCAATGCATGAATTCAATTAGAGCATATAATCAAATATGCAAAATGAGAGATAATCAAAACAGTAATAATAATGATAATACTATAATGAGAATGATGATAGCGTTTTAAGTGAGATTAACAGAGGCTGATGTGTTCTTCAAGTTAACTGGAGTCAGTTGGAATGACCACAATATAAGAAAAGTAGTTGTGAAATACATAATAAAGACTAAAAATGATAATAAATAAATAATAATGCGACATTACTGAGACAAGATGGAATGAATACAGTGTGAGTATTTTTCCTAAAAGGTACTAAGTATATCTAGTTATGAAGATGGTGAACAATTGAAATTGTTAACAAATATAGAATGAAATACCAGTGATGATTGTGCAATAATAGAGAGATGAATTGTTAAACAGAGAAACATTAATAGGCGGAAAGTAATCTAAAGCAAATGAGGTATAATTGACTGCTTTCTTAAAGTTCACATGGACGCTCATCATCGGTAATTATGACACACTCAATTTTGTAAACTGTCCTATCCTTGTGGGAACCCTTTAGAAACGACTATCATAGGACTATTCAATATCTGAACTGCTAAGCAAATAGATTATTCAAAACTTCACCAGACGCTCCACTGCTTTGGTAAAACGCGTCGACGAGACATTTTTCAACTGTGACAAGGATAACTGCATACACTTATTTTGATGCCATTCACATCAGCCAGCAGTATTTAGTAGTTCAGAGAGCCATATCAATTCAACCACATCCACAGTTATGTCTGGCTTCTTGTGAGAACTGGTGACTACTTCACTTAACTGAATACAGGAGGATCAGTAGCTGTTGGTCAAATTTACGGTTTGCAAATTTCAAACTCCAAAGTGAAATTTCGCTGCAGTCCCCTATGGAAACCGAAATTATGCAGTTCACGATATGTTATCTCCTTGATATCAATAGTAGCAGTTGAGAAAGCGAAAGTAAAGTCATTATGGTACCCTGGTGGTTTGAACTGATTTGGCTGTTTCAGCTCACATCGCTGATGAGCTTTGACCCACGACAGCGAAATGGCCGTCCACCATCTAGATCACTCCAGTCTGACTGGTAGGCACCACTGACTGGTGTTGGTGGTATCCTACTCTCATATAAACCAGTAGTGTGCACCGTTACACACCTATACTTCCTTTCTAGATTGCAATTTGTGATATCAAGCAGGTTGCCTAACTTGACCTCAGTAATTTCGGTTTCCAAAGGAAACTCTGGTGAAACTTCAGCTCGAACTGTGTAATTTGTAGAGTGCAAGATTCACTAACTGTCAGTGAGCTTTGTGGATCCACTTTAGTAAAGAAGTCACAGTCAACTATCCTATGCTTTAATTTGTCTCCCGCAGGACACAGTATGAATTCGTGAACAAAGCTAGAACGATAAATGCACCAGGGTGATCTTTCGATAAAACTGCATAATGTAGATTTGGTGATCTACGATATTGACTAACAATATCGGTAAGTCGAGACTTAAACCAACCTTGTCTCTCGCCATCCACTGCTTTCAATGCAGACGGTTGATGATGCACACTTTCGAGTTGGGTTTCAACGTCAATTTTTCTGGTAAATTTCGTTGGAATGTAGAACCTGAATCCTAGTGAAAGCACTTATCTTTCTATCTGCCTCAGCTTATGACTTCAGTTGACAAGTTGAATACGAAGTTTTCGGGATTCCCCGGAATACCTGCACATAACTTTCCCTTAACGGAGTCCAACAGAGTTTTCTCAGATTTTCTCCTTGTTTCGGCGCGAACCTCTCAGGCGTAACTGACAGACCTGATTATACAGATCAAATTCTTTTTATTCACAGTATGGCCAAAGCCACAAGTTTCTTTCTTCAGTTGAGAAATAAGGTGTAGGTCTCCAGTGTACTCGATTACAGATTTCTTTCAATAGAGAAAATTGCATGAAGTTGTTGAAGAAACAGTACAAAAGTGTCTCGAAGATAAATCTATAGAAATCCACTTGTAGTGTATGGGTGAGCGCAACTCAGTGTTGATGCTCACCATCACTTATTTCGGCCTTGTCCTGTATGAACCATATGTAAATGGGGACCGACTCTATGCTAGGGTGAATGCGCAAGAACACTGTAAATTCCCCCCTTGACGATATCTGACAGGGAACTTGGTTATCGCCATACTTCAAGTCTTCTGGTGTCAATTATGAAGTGTGTCTTCAGCAGATTATTAACAATCAAGGAGGAACATTTTATAATTAAGTAGTTTACTTCGCGGTAAGTGCGTTTATACATTGTCGGATAATCAGATAAACGGCAACACTTTGTCGGCTGAGATTTATGCACTTTGATCAGTTCATTGGTGAACCGTCGGACTTGCACACGGTGAGATAGTGTCACCATCTTCATATTACCCGAACCGATAATCTGAACAACATCAGACAAAGCGCTCATTGCCTCACGTAATTTAGCAAAGCCATGATCAGCTACTCGGAATTGTTCGCCAAAGTAGTCATTATGACTAGACATAAATTTGCTCAGTAGTATTTGACATCCTGGTTGATGCTTTATTAGTTCAACCACCTCCCGTCTGAGTAGTTTCAGACGGTCAACACCGGTAACTGACTGTACACACTGAGGACTTTGTGGTAGAGAACTCAATAAGCTGACAGAGTGACCAAAATTCATAACTCCTAAAAAATAAATTATGAGATTCATAGTTATTAGTTTTTAAAGGGTTGACGCAATTCTCTTACACAGCCTCTTAATTATTCTCGCGTACCGAAAACAAAGCAAAAGCCAATAATTGATCGTCCAAACTTCGTGATATATTTCGAGACCAAAACAAGTCGTCAGACAAACGCTTAGCTGGCTAGTGATCGTGCACGTGACACGACGGGGTAACAAATGCCGGGGATGCTTGACCGGAAGCCTTCAGCTAAACAAGTCGACCTAAACAGTGGTGATCAGCATCCAATGAGTGATTGCTGTGGTCAATAATTTTGGGGGATTATTTACCGCTACAATTTCTAAGTGATCAAAACGTTGCTATTTTTAACAAGGACAACTGATGACTGATATGCTAACTAACGGTTAAGCAAGCAAATTGACTGAATTCTTTTCATCTTTCCTGCTTTTCGTATATACAAGTGAGTTACCACTCTGTGAGCATGTGACGCCCCACAGATACTTGAGCATTGTATATTGTAAGATCTCGATTAATATGCTTGTTAGTCACCAGTAAAGGAGTTCAACACTTCAGTTTCTTCTTACTTGAGACTGGACTCCATACGACAAAATACACACGTCACTTGATATGTATCCACATATATATATTTATGTGTGTGTGTGCATGTTGGTCTCTCTTTCTGTTTGCTCGGTTAGTCTGTGACCACTTCACTTGTATGGACTTGTCTCCTTTAATAATGTGTATTCTCCTTATATTATATTATATATAATATGAGTGTTTGTTGACAGTCCGTTGCTTGGTGACATATATCCATATATGTTTGTTGGCATGTCTGCTATATTCGCTATGTATAATTGGATCGACAATCCATTATAATTAGCCATTCATGTTAAGACTGTCCAATGATTTTTCCCACGCTTGTCTGAATTATTTATATATATTCGCATTCACAATTTGTGTGAACTACTTTACTTTACAACTACTTGAATTGCTTACCACTTTGGTGTGAGACCATTTATTTTCGTCTCCTTGTGTTTGGACAATAGAAGTATCACCACAAACCTAGTGGTCTTCTGATTTCCGCCTTCTCGCGTCAGGACTATTAGTTTCTCGACCAGTCCATAACAATAATTTAGCGACGAGTACATAACAATTTGGCGACGGGAAAAACTACTATTAACCACTCAGCAGCAGCAACATAACAATTTACTATGGATTATTCTAAATTGGAATTATTGTTTGAACGACAAATGAAATTAATGGAAATGTTCGTCAACCAACAGACTGGTCCAGCTCCACCTTCAAGCAATCCCAATCATACCATGCTACCATCTGTCGACGGAATTGTGAACAGCATTTCACAGTTCAATTATGACCCAGAGGCTAATGTCACTTTTGACACATGGTATCAACGTTATGAGGATTTATTCACTGTTGATCTCGCCTCACAAGACGATGCCTGGAAGGTGCGAGTTTTGCTACGTAAATTGGGTCCGGCAGAATATGAACGGTACTGCAACCTAATTTTACCACAGAAACCACGTGACAATTGTTTCGATGATACAATAAAGTTGCTGCGTGAACATTTCGGAGACCACTCCTCATTATTCAGTATACGTTATCGTTGCCTCAAGCTGGCAATGAATGAAAATGATGATTTTCTTACTCACGTTGGCACAGTCAACCGAGAATGTGAGAGATTTCGACTCAGGTCCTTAACAGATGATCAGTTCAAAGCCTTGATCCTCATATGCAGTCTCCAATCTCCTCGTTTCACAGATATCCGAACTCGACTGCTCAATCAGCTAGAACAAAATCCCAAGTTAACATTACATGACATAGCTGATGAATATCAACGGCTGATTAATCTGCAGAAAGACACACACTTGGTCGAATCAACACCTCCGAGAAGCTCTGATATTCGTGCATTACGCAAGAGCAAAAATCTCTCATCAGCTACTCCTGACCCACCTTCTTCTAATGTCCCGCGGAAATCTACACATACTCGTCCAACTTCACAAAATACTGCAAAGAAGACCCCACCATCACCATGCTGGCATTGTGGCGCGTGGCACTTTGTAAAGTCTTGCCCATAC